TATATATATATATATATATATATGAAATACCATTGCTTTGTTTGATGTAATACCTTAATTTAATCGTACACGATGATGAAGAGATTTTAACGTCTATTCTAGAATCTGGCAGTGTCGTACTGTCCACAGCTTGATCAAATAATGTCTGTTGGTTCTGAAAAATATTTTTAATAATCCGTCGATTGAAATAGGATTATATAAAAAAAAAAACGTGTCACAAATATTTTTGAGAAAATCTGTACAGATTTCTTAATAACTTACAGCATCTCTAGCATTTATTACAGGATTGTAAGTACATATCGGCTGCGGATTAAGGATAGCAGATATTCTGTCTACAATAGTAATATCTACTTCGCCTCTGCAGGGTTCCATTTGAATGCTGAAAAATTAAAACAATATTAAAATATTTAAAATCACTTGTAATTTATTATTAATCGATAAAATTGATTAATATCTTTTTAGGATTTTTAAATAGCCTATATAAATCGAATGAAATATTTTGTAAAAATGTTACGTCGCTTAATTTAAAAGTAAAGATCTTACTCGAAGTCCGTGCGTGGATGTGCAAATTTCGTCATGTGAGTATGTCGAACAGCCTTTTGCGTATATTTAAATCTCATTCTGAAGTCAGTTTTATTGGAAAATCCGATATTAGTCGTATTCTCTTTTGTAAACGCTAATAGCTCGACGAATTCCATCGATGGTGTCCTATACGAGCTAGGGTTGTTGGAGTCAACCAGACACTCTACAATTTCCAAACTAGCTAAGGTCAAGCTTCCTGATAACGCGGAGTGCTGATTAGTAGTCTTTTCACTGCCCTCGACTACTAGTGGTGCAGCTAGTAATCTATAATCAATCGAGACTTTTAGTTAACTTTAACCAGGGGGTTGGGAAGTAACTCGTTACTTGTAACAAAGTTACAATTACAGTTACTTTTTTTTTCAATAACTGTAACTTCGTTATAATACAATAAACTTAACTTCGTTACTTTCTTTCCATATGTAACTGTAACTTAACTTAGATTTTTTTAAGTAACTAGTAAATAATTTAATAGTTACTTTTACAGTTATTTTATATATATTAAATCGTCACTTTCATGGATCTCAAAATTATGCAACACTTTCGCTCAATCACCTAATCGTAATGTTGATTGTAATTATACGATATATTTAAATGCTCATATTTATAAATACGCGCATTAGTTTTCTTTTTTAAATAAAATTATATAATATGTAAATGTAAACCAGTCTTTTTTTATAATGCTAATGGTTCTATTAGAAGTAACCGAAAAGTAACGATTCATTACTCTTTGAGTAACTGTAACATGTTACTTTTCAGAGTCGGTATTTGTAACAATAACTAGTTACTTTTTGAGAGACAAAAATTGTAACTAGTTACTTTTACAAAGTAACTTTCCCAACCCTTGACTTTAACTACTAATATCCTATAAATATCTAATATCAGTTTATCAACGTACCTAATATGACTAAGTCGACAAGCCTCTGTGAGTGATTTTGACGCCGTATCAAAATCTTTACTTCCGTAACCGCCCATAGCAAATGCTCCTAATTGCCTGAAAAACTCCTTTGCCGCGTTTTTCATCTGTCTTACACTGCTAGAAGTTAGACCGAGTTGCTCCACGCACGGCGTCAGTATATCTTCGTGCAACAGAACTAGAGCGACGGAAGATATCCTTATGTGAAATTGGGTAGTCTCGGCGGATGTGTCGTTGTCTATGTTATGTCTGTGTCTATTGTGTCTCGGCAGATTTGTTGCCGAACTTTTCGAACTGATGCTGCTGGCCGATATGCTGCCCTCCATACTGAAATTATTGCTTGTGATCGAATCGCACATCGACGAAGAGCCGCCCGGCAATTTCATTGGTAGAAATTCGTCCTCGTTATCAGACTCGTCCACGGATCCAGTGGACCATCCTTGAGCGTATCGTAGATCCTATAATATAATACTTCTATGTAAATACAAGAAGCATAGAAATAGTGGGTGCTTTAAAGCGTCAATAAATTTCCGTACTGTAGTTTTCAAATCTTGCATAGGATGTGTCTGATGTATAAGCTCGCGTTCTATACGATTAAAATCGCTGCTAGCCATAGGCTTCTCCGTGTATCTCCTCGGAACAACATTACTGACGTCTTCTAGATCTGGAGATGCTAGGCCATGCGCTAATTCTAATAAAACGTGAAGCTGCCTAGGACTCAGGAACAAAGTAAGCGATCCTAGAGTAATTTCCAGTTCTACCTGAAATATACATCATTTTCCTTCATGTTAAAAGACTATAAATATCTGGGTGGGAAAAAAATGTATTACTGTATATTTTTAGGATGAATACATTTCTTGAAAGAAAGAGAGAGCTGAAACTAATTTGTGAGATGAATTTGTTTTTATCATGAATTTATGTTTTTATGCCTCACCTTTGGTCCCGATATTCCCTCTCCTTGTTTCATTTTTAATCTCACTTCTTGTCTACCTGCTAGCTTAGCAAACACGATGGGACTTGATTCGTTCGAGTTGTTAACAGCATTTCCGTCTGGCGGTGTATGCAGAATGCTCTGCGTAGGAGACATTTGTGCGGAGATGAACAGACTGTCCGAGTTCTGCTGTCGCAGGAAATGGGAAGTTAAATTTTTGAGAATTGTTTCTCCTTCATTCGCGGTATTGCCCGATCGGAAATCGATCATCATCTGTTTACCTTAGAATCGGGAGTAGAGCACGTACTGGCCAGCATACTTCTGGAAAACGTTCTTGCGCGCGAGGGAAATTCGTCGGTGTGAAAAGTCACTCCCTCCATGTAAAATCGCTTAGTGGAGAACGCCGAAATGATGTACGCCTTCGCGGATTCGTCGGGGTCCAGCGACGTATTACTGGGATCCAATCCCGCCTCGTCGGAATATTCCAGATTTTGTATCCACACCTCGACCGCTACCCCCGTGGAAGAGTTCAAAGGTACGTGCTCCAAGCGTATCACAGTATCGATAAATCTCACTTTAATCCTAGACAAAACTGAGACACACAACCGATAAAGAATCTAGCCTTTTGGACTTGAAAGAGTACGGTAGTGCAATTTAAATCAAGTGTATATCCTACTCGAATCTATAGTCTGTGCAAACATTTCCACCGCCTCTAAGGGTTGAGCGTTCCCCGCATTGGCCGCGTCTTGCTGCAGACACTCCTGAGCGAGTTGCATGCTGGATGTCATGGAACTCCACATAGATTCGAACATCGAAGTTCCAGTTTCGACTCTTTGTCGCGGTTGTACCGTGAGCCTGAGACCCTTTACTTCCACGTAACTCGCTTGAGTGAGCAACGTCGACCATGGTACACTAAGGGATATCTCCATTATGAAGCCGTCAACGAATTCCAATGGGAGATGTTGTTGCTCCCCCATCTCGTTGAGCGCCTGTCACAATAAATCGTCATTTATTCCTTTACAGATATATCTCTCAATTACAAAGACTAAAAAAAAAAAGAATAATAATTGTTAAATAAACAGCCGTTATTTAGGAATAATGCGCAAGTAAGAAAAATCGACGTTCCCATTTCGCGAGTAGCGAAACTATTATATTCGATCGCGTTAGGAAATATCGGAAAAAATAGTCTGTAATAAATTAGCATTTATTAACATCCAGAATGCCGTAGTACTTTACTGTGGATTAATTTATGCGCAAGTTGCGTGCAATCAACTGTGCTTAACGATTTATTATAATTTATTGTTACAATGTTTAACGTGTAATAAATATATATTTATTACTTAGCTGTAAACAAAACTAAAAAAAAAAAAGAAAATATTTTTCAGAGAGGCTAAAACGCGATCGAAAAAATAGACTTGAATGGATGTTAAAGATATGACAAAAAAATATAGAAATCAAACGAATAAATATGTTATTTTGCACATGTGCTATTTATTAATTAACCTCCTATCAGCCGTATCTATATATTGACACGCGTATTACATGTGCGCGCGCGTGCGCGCACACACACGCACGCATATTCACCTGTATTCACCCACCTACACGCGAGGTTAATTCTATATGTTAATTTATTTTTTAGATTAGCCGTAAATTAATATGTCATAAACCAATCTTCATTCTCACCCTGTCATATTTTGTAGCGATTATTAGAGAAAACATTAAAAAAACTGCGATTAGTCATCGCGTATACCGATGAACAATAATATTTTGCCGAGATACTCGAGTATTAAATCACGATCAGCTGTTTTAAATTCGCAACGCGAATACGAGATATTCGCCAGCGACGTAAATACATACGTATGTACTTTACTACGGTGCTCCGCGTGACAGGAATGTGCGCGCTATTTATTGAATGAACGCGACGATGCGATCCCTTTGTAGAGTTTATTTTACCGTCGAGGAAGGGAATCGTATGGATGAATCCGTGAGACAAAGGAGAGCATGTTAATTGCGTACTTGCACGTCGAGGCTGACATTGATGACTCGTCCCGTGCCATTGTAGAGATCGACGGTCAGTTGATCCAGCGTGAGCTCCTCGAGGAACTGGCCGAGATAACGCTGCAGCAGGTACCTGCAGGCCCGCTTCTTGATGTCCGCCGACCATCCGAGCCAAGACATCTTGCTCATCTCGCCCCGCGCGCGGTCGAGTCAGCCCGTTGTCCGCGCGCACGTTACGCGATCCCTATCCCGAGGTGAATTCCGGCGAGTCGCGTGGAGCGTTGGGGTATCATCTCGTCGCGCCAGGCACGTTGTCGCGAGGCATACCCTCGACCGAAACCCTCGGCGCGCGAACTCGGGCGTTTCAGGAGCGTTGGCGGACGATCCTACACGAGCGAATCGCATCCCCCGACACGCGCACCGCTCGCGTCCATGACGCTCTCGGCACACAATACACGACACAACTAGCCTTCTCGAGGTGCTTCTCGAACGGTTTCCGTCTGTCGATTGAGATCGCGCATTCGCGCGGCGCTGCTCCGACGATTCTCCGGCGGCCGTGCCAGCACTGCCAGCGCTCCGATATACCCTGTGCCAGAGTACTGAAAATTTATATACTTACAACATCTTCGGTATACTTCAATGGGAGCGTTCGGTAGATAAAACAGGGAGCGCCGAGCGCTCCAGCTAATTGATTCTTCATGATCTTGGTTTCCACACTTTGAATCGACCAGCAAAGAATTAAAGAGGTAAGAATTCCAATCGTATTAAAAAAGAACACTGATTTGCTTTATATTTGCTAAACACATGCCAATGTTTTCATCGCACTATCAGATGATTCAGATTGTCGCGCGATTCATATGCAGCTGATAGGACTGTGCAAAATACATCATTAAAGTATTTAAGAGGATGCTAAAGCCGTCTGTTTTATCGACAAAAATACCATTTTTGTTGGATACAAAATACTTCGTATTAATCGCATAGAATAAAATTTCCTTTTCCACGATTAAAACACACATGCTAATGCATCTGGCTCTGGTGTGTTTTGTACCAAAAACAGGAAAAAATTACGAAATTACAGATTTCGTTATCTATTTTAACCTCAACATGGCGATCACTAATGCTATCAATTTACCAAAACGTTTACTTCGTGAAAAAGTTAGGCAGGTTATATGCTCGAAATAAAGGCAGAGCCAAATGTACAATAAAAAAATGAATATAAGTGAGTCGTTAAAATCAAATTTAGAAGCCTAAATAAAAATACATTTGTATCTTACAAATTCGTGTATATGTATGCGTGAGATATATTGATGTGGTAATAAACATCACTACACACTACTACATCAATATCGCACGCATATACATACTTACAAATTGTCGGTAAAACAGCGGATTTTTGGAGTTTGATCTATGGGTTTAGGATCCTCTTAAAATACTAAAATACAAATTAATACACTGGCAATCTTAGTATTTGATGAATAACAAAATATAAAATACTTTCAATCTTTCGATTTGAAATACAAAATACAAAATACTTTTAATCTTTTGATTTGAAATACAAAATACAAAATACTTTTACTTTTTATTTAAAATACAAAGTACTTTTTAATTTAATCTTTTATATATACTTTTTAATTACAATAATATATAATGTTAAGCTCCCCCCTCCAACAGTCCCCTCTCCACTTTTAGAGAAAGAAAAGTTATTTTACTCTCTAATTACACTCTTTATAACAATCCTATATTATCCTGTATCAACCGTACGAGAAATCCATTTACTAATGTGAGATTATGAAATTTTATTTTGATGACTTGATATTGCTTGCGAAAACTTGACGAAAATAATTAGTGTCGCTTAATTGTCATATGAAAAAATTTTAAAGTTACTATATATATATTATAATTGTTGTCAAGAATTTTTATCAATATAATTTCTTTAGTATTTCAAATACAAAATAGATTGAAATTGTATTTGAAATACAAAATACATTGCGAATAACTTTTTTGAAATACAAAGAATAAAATATACAAATTGTATTTTAAATACAATAAGTATTTGAAATATGCCCAATCCTGTATACTGATATACAGGGTGTCCCACTTCTACCGCAGTTCCTTTTAAAAACGTGTTCCTGAGATAATTTGAGTCGAAAATCCTAATACAAAAATGTCGAAGCTATAATATTTTTCAAGTTATAAACGATTTAAGTTAACCAATATTATAGCAGCTGAACTTCGCGCGCTCAGGCACGGCACGTTCGATGGCCCCGTTTATAAATATCAATATACGAAACTAACTTAATTTGTGACTAATTGACTTAATAAATAATACTTAAACTTTATAGAAAACTATACATATATATAATACGGCCTCAAATAATTCAAAAATTTACGATATTTTGCCTATACAAGCCTACGCCGTTATCGGGGCGTGAATAAATAAAGAACTTCAATTTAAATTATAAAATAAAATTACAACATAGTTCTAACGCCGCGGTAAGAAACATAATACACTTTTCAACAAAATTAAAGCATCACTTATTCTACCTTCCAAAAATAGACAAAATTCAAGAGAGTGTTACTTCGTCAAAAATGATCATATCGAGATGTTTAAAAAAGCATTTTACTTGTCAGCTTGAAATCTTAACTTTTCAAATCGGTACTTTAGAAAACAAGATCCTACTGATCTTTCATGGAATTACACGGATAGAAAAGGAGACTCGATCCAAAATTTTTTACGAACTTTAACAAGTTCCATGGCGCGAATTAAAAATCGCATGCAAATGCAGTTTACATTCGAAATAGTGAATCTTTACCTTTAATTTGCTTTTTTGTTGAGCGTTGTACGATTTTTTTTCACCGAGTTATTCAACGTTAAAGCAAAAATGGTCCTTATTGCTTCAACGTTGAATAACTCGGTGAAAA